GACACGTTTTTCTAATACTGATTAGCTAAAAACAAAACGGAAAATCTGTTTTTTCACGTTAGATAATAAATACCCAAATGGTATTTGATGAAAAGAAAAGCTATCATACTCAGAAATTGGGTCTTAAACAAAAAAGTTCTTGAACCTACATATTGCTTGAAGGATTGAGACATTATGGAATCTCTCTCTTTTTTATTTCCACTTAGTTTATATCTAGTTTTATTATTTATAATTCATTATAATTTCTTATTATTTTTATACTTGCAAGATATGTTTAAATTATTATTTTTTTGTTGAACTTATACCAATAAGGTTAATTTAATACTCAATCATTAACTTGTTAAGTGTTAACATGGTCAAACTCATGTATATTTTATACTTGAACCATACAAAGTTATTAATATCTTCATCAAAATCTAAATCTAGTAGTATAATTATAGTTCAATCATTCTATATAAACACAACTCAAAAATGATGTATACATTAGTTTAATATCAACAATTTATAATATTTATATTTATATCACAAGATAATAATATAAACATTAACAATTGGATTCTAGTGCGAGTGAAATCTAAAACTTATTTATGATTCTTCAACTTATTAAATTGACTTGAAAACAATTATAAGCTCATAATCTTTCAACCCATATGTAATTCATGTATACACTTTATCTTATAAGATTAAGTTAAATATCCTGATAATTAGACAAATTAATGTCAGTAGCTCATTATTTGACACTAACCTCATTATCAGGTGATCAGTTTCACTATCTATTATCAAGTTAGTCATTTTATCAGGCAACTAGTTCCATACATATTAATATAAAAATAAAAATATACAACATTTAAAGTATTTGCCACTACTTGGCATAATGAATTTATTAAATAAGATATCAAAGTGTTAAACACCTTTTCCACAATAATATTCATTCACTTGTTGACTAATTCACACGTTAATTATTTTAAAGTTCTTCTTTTCTCCTCTCTCTCTTTTTGGCTCTCTCACACATTCAACATTACTTTCTATTATGTCAATTTATCATGAATTAAACATGATTTTCACTGTTTCAATCGATAATAGATTATATATCCAATCTCGTTAATATGGTTGATAATAACTCTTGTATAGTAGTTCCATCGTTGTGGTCAAAGGTAATACATACAAGTTTTTTTTTTATCATTGTGGTAAATCACATCTTATAATATATTGCATATTATTATCTATGTGATTTAATTTCAAATTACATATCAATTTTTACCTTGAAAACATATACCTTCCATTAACAATAACAATAATAATATATTATACAATTTAATTATCATTATAATTCCAATGATTATAAAACCATGTATAAATAATTAAAAAGGCAATGGAGGGTTAATCTTTTACATTTATTTTTGTTATCCAAACTCATGTGAAGTCTAGTTTCTTTTCAAATATATTTTCAGTAACTCTCAACTAAATAACCATTATTACTTACCCTGTAAATTACATTGAATCACTAGCATATCTTTATTATTTAGATATTATGAATCTCAAATGTGTGTGTCAATAGATAATAATGATTAATTAAATTAATCAAATTCAATAACTCAATCAATCAATTTTTTTAGTATTTTGCTAATTCCTTCTGCTGGTAGATTAACCTCTATTGGTTCCATCTATTGATTAAGATAATAATGATTTTAACTGTTTATTTTATAAAATAATCATTTGATTCAATAGAATTATATAATATTTGTTATTTATCCTTTAATTTTTACTAAGTTATCATTAACTTTCATCTCACTATATTTTTACAAATAATTTAAAATCTTCATTGGTAATGTTAATAAGCAATCAATTACTGAAATTCTTGTACCAATCATTTAACAATTTATCAATAACCACTTCTTATTAGTATCACTATTAAATAACCTTTTTCCATACTAATATTCTGTACTGATCATTATATTATTTTCATCTCTAATCTTAGCTTACTTATTCTCAATATTTTGTTTCATTTCAAATACATAGTTATATCAAAATATATAAATTATACAGATTTATAAGCACACACTTCACTTAACTTAAACATCGTACAATCAGAACATATCAAGAAATTTATTATAGTCAACGCATGACTTCATTGTATCATCCCATCCTCATCATCGTATTACATCATTTTTTTTCCCAGTAGGATCAGTTTTGACCTTGTTTCTTGCATGTTGTTGTCTTTTGCAGGGGTTCCTCTAACCACTTTGTCTCTTTTGCATTCTTATTGATCGATTGTTGTCCATGGAGATTGACTTTGGCTCATCGTGATCGTCCTTTCTATGTTTTTTATGTTTCGGGACACCTCATGGCTGGCAGGCAAGTTGAACTACAAAATCAACCTAAAATCAACCTTTTCTTCTGGCAATTCTTCCATGAAAGGATTACCTCCCCCGACTCTTGGTGGTGGAGGTGGCTTGCCTGCCCAGTATAAGCATCTAGATGGTACCAGTTCATCAATTCCAAACTAGGATTGAGTGGGTTTTCCATAAATCCAGCATTGGCTTCCATGATTGCTCAGCAGCTTGGTACAGGTAATCTGCCTCCATTATTTGATAATGTTGCTGCAGCATCTGCCATGGCCATCCCTGGGATGATCTCATGAGTGCTTGGAGGTGGCTTGCGTTCTTGAGCAAATCCAAGAGCTGCTTCATTGGAATCTTGGGAGATGGGACAGTCCAATAGCAGGAAGTGCTCTTCAAGCACCTTTTGTTGATCCTATGTATCTCCATTACTTGAGGGCTCCTGACTATGGTGCTAACAGCTTGCTGCTATTAATGATCCCTCAATAGATATGAACTACTAAAGTAATTCATACTTGAATTAGCTTGAAATTTAAAAGGCTTATAGTCTTCTCTCATCATTGTATCACAGTGTGGTGTCCTATCAGGTGGGAAATCTGTCGTTTCTGATCATTATGGTTATTTTGGGAATCCTGCCTTCAGTGTTGGCATGCCATATCCTGGAAGTCCCCTTGCAAGTCCTGTCATTCCAAACTTCATAGTTGGACCTGGCAGTCCCATAAGACACAATGAACTGAATATGCATTTTCCTCTGGAATGAGGAGCTTAGCTGGTGGCATCATGGGACACTGGCCCTTGGATGCAGGATGTAACATGGAAGAAGCTTTTAGTCATCCCCATTGGAAGAGTTCAAGAACAATAAGCAAAGTTTCTTGAGCTTTCAGAAATTGCCAGCCATGTTGTTGAGTTCAGGTATCTATTGAACAAAAACATCTTATTTTAATTCATTATCTTATCATTTTTATCTAATTCAATGATTTGAAATTCCTTACAGCAGTGCGGATCAGTATGGGAGCCAATTTATTCAACAAAAACTTCAGACTACCGCAACGGATGAGAAAAATATGGTTTACGAGGAAATCATGCCCCAAGCTCTGGTTCTGATGACTGATGTGTTTGGTAATTATGTAAATCAGAAGGTACCATATATCTATGCTTTCTTACTTGTCATGGTTTTTGTGGATTCTGCTTGTGAAATTAACTGTGTATCTGCATGTAGTTTTTTGAGCACGGGCTTCCATCGCAGAGAAGAGAATCGGCTGGCAAGCTTTTTGGTCATGTCATAACTCCTTTGTTTGTTTTTTAATTTTAAAAGTATTTTTTAAAAATTTAAATTTTTTTATTTTAAATTAATAATTTTTTTGATATTTTTATATTATTATGATGTATTAATATTAAAAATAATTTTTTTAAAATAAAAAACTATTATTTTAATATATTTTTAATTAAAAAATATTTTAAAAAATAATTGATACAGGATAAAATTCTTGCGGCACAAAACATAAACATGTTTTTGCTATTGTATATTTTATTTTTAATGGTGAGATATCACTAAAAACAAAAACATGCTTAAAATATATTTGTTTGAAAGGCTTGCGTTGAAAAGACATGTACAAAAACAACAGCCAAAACAAATACATACTTAAAAGATATTTGTTTGAAAGGTATGCGTTGAAAAGACATGTACAAAAACAACAGCCAAAACAAATACATACTTAAAAGATATTTGTTTGAAAGGTATGCGTTGAAAAGACATGTTTTTTTGCGCGGCTTCCCTCACAAACAAACACCCTTTAGCATTCAAATGTATGGCTGTCGAGGGATCCATTAATCATGCTGAAACATGTTTTGCTTTTTGCTGTGTCCTTTATGAAGTTTGCCAAAAAAAAAGAAAAAAAAAAGAGCTCCGTCTGAGTGGTTAATAGGATTTGTTTTTGATGAAACAAATGGTCTGAATATGTAAGCAATAAAATTGTAATTATTTAGAAGGTTGAGAGATGTTTTATCACTTTAAAATAAAATTATTGACTAATTGTGTCAACAAATTCATTGTTTTGAAGAAGCATGTAATTGTATATTCTTACAAGTGAAAGATGTTAAGAGATATATAAGTGCTTAAAAAGTTAAAAGAGATGATGGAAAAAAAAAAACACTCAAATCAAAGTTGAAGCATAACCTTTTGTGTTATGACTTAATAAGCCCAATATTAGCCGAAGTCAATAAATTAAATTAACTTTATTTTAACTCAATTTTGTAATCAATTTATCATTTAAATATAAAATTAATTCTAATCAAATGTATATATTTTTTAAAATAAAAAAGTTAAGAACAATTCAAGATTCGAAACCAAAAATAACACTAATACCCGTACGTAAAGTTGTAGCTTATTTTCATTTAAATACCTTTTAAATTAAACGCACCTATATATGCTAACAAGGTTTCACCGCGTAAGATAAGCACTCCAAGGGAATAATACAAAAACCATCACATATAAGAGGCCATATAAAAATCACAATCACAATCACAATCACAATCTCCAAGGGAATAATACGAAAACCATCACATATAAGAGGCCATATAAAAATCACAATCACAATCACAACAGACCTCAGAGATTATTCAATCGGAAATCCCTGGAGTTCTGAGAGGTACAAGCATGTATAATCAAACACAATCAACCAATAATGGATTTATTATATAGTCCTCACTCGGGTAGTTAATATATTATCGCGGTCACCATACCATTTATGCGTAGAGGTTCAGGTTGGACAATCTGGGCGTTGGAATGGCGATCAGAGGAGTAGATTTCTCCAGAACAACCCAAACTTCTCTGAAGTATCAGCCCTTACACCGTTTGGTAATTCCCACGTGAACATGTGCAAGAAAGTGGCCAAACAATACATGAGCATCCTTTCGCCCAGAGGCAGCCCTGCACAGATCCTTCTACCGGACCCAAATGGAAGATATTGCATATTATTTCCGAGATAATCCAATCTATCAACGTCGCTCAGGAACCTTTCCGGTTGAAATTCTGACGGATTGTCCCAGAATTTAGGATCTCTATGTATAGCCCAAACGTTGAGAAAAACTTTCGCATTCCTTGGTATTGTGTATCCCCCAACACAGCAAGTGTTAGATGAGGAACGGGGTAATAACAGTGGCGCTACCGGATGCAATCTCATGGTCTCCTTCACAACCGCGTGCAAGAACTGTAACTTGTCAATGTGGCGTTCTTCAACAATTTCGTCGGTGCCCACCGCATCTGTCAATTCTTTCTGGGCATTTTTCATCACCTCTGGGTGTAGCATCATTTCCGCCATAGCCCATTCGAACGTAGTTGAGGTTGTGTCGGTGCCACCGACAACGATGTCCTGTCGTTAGCGTCCTCATCGTCATTATAAAAGACAAGAAAAGAAAGCATTATTGGAGATTGGAAAAGGACAGAAGAGAAATAAACGTCCCTCTTGGGAGTCTTATGTATCCACCTCCATGCATATATACTTAATTGAAAGATTTTGTATTCCTACCAGTCAAGTGAAAAATGTTCAATTGTAATTCCAATCAACTGGATACATACATGTAACATTACATTTTAGTTGCTAATAATTGATATCGTTATGGTATAGTTTCATCCTGACAAATTTAATATGATATTTTTTATAATATATGCATATCGGTTTTTTTAAAACTAACTTCCGGTAAAAAAAAAAAAACCCTTTTTAACTCTTTTTTATATATATATATATCAGAATTAAAATAAAAAACCCTTTTTAACTTTTATATATATATATCAGAATTAAAATAAAAAATTAGGTGGTTACCGATTGTGCCCACGATGAATATGCTGTCGTCTAATTTGAAATAGAGATCTATCTACATGTCTAACTTAAACTTAGAAAGTAGAAATTATAGGCGTGCTTTCATGATTTTTTTTAAAAAGAATTTACGACATATCATTCGGTGTAACAAATTGTAGTAATGACTTCAGGAAAATCAAGGTTTGAGTTCTTTGCTGATCCAAAAGCTAAATTTAAACATGATTTCAAATCCACAAAGAAAGAGAAGTAATAAAAATAAAGATCAAATGAGCAGAAGAAGAGGAGTAGTGAGAGAAGGCGACTCATCAAACAAACATCGACGCGTGGGTATCCCATCTAAAGCCAGAAAAGATTCCAGAAAGAATATATTCGTACTGCCTAAGTGTAACGCTTAACGATTTATATGATTGTTACTGTCCATTTCGCTTGGCATGATTCATAATAGTAAAGAGGAGGTAGTGGCAACGTTACCATAAGCAGAGCCTTAATTTGTTCTCGGGAAATTGATCTCCCGCTTTCTTGTTCTTTGAACCCCAAAAGGAAGTGCATGAAGTCCTTTCTTTGATCATCTTTAGCCCCTGATTCAGCTCTTGCACCGTCTTTTCCAATCCATTCATCTATGACAAAATCATAGATTTTCTCGATCCTTTGTGTTGCCTTCTTCATTTCCCCCTCTATTCCTTGTATATCAAATCTTGCAAGGGCTGGAAAGAAGTCTGAAACATTTGGTTTTCCCAGTATCTCAATGAGTTCCGAGGCTGCCGCTCTAAACTTGGAGCCAATATCAATCTGTGTGTCCCCTTCTAAAGTACCGCCCCAAAACATGCCTGATATCATATTGATCACCGTCGAAAATGCCAATTCCCCGATATTTACAGGTTTGCCAATTTTTCTGTACGTTTCATTAACACTCTCCTTCACCTTCTTTCTCCTCAGAGAATAAAACGCATCAAGATTTGCATTGCTTTGCATCTCCCGCACGAATAGTTTACGCAGCATGCGCCACTCGGGACCATATGGTTGAAATGCAATATCCTTTCCACCGTATGAGAAAGTTTTTGCTGCAATAGTTGGATTTCTATTGGCAAATGTTATGTCTTGGTCACGTACAGCCTCTTTCACCAGTGTTGGAGAGCTTATTATGACACATAACTTCCGTCCGATTGATAGCTTATAGATTGGACCGTAAGTTAGTGCCAATTTCATAAACAATTGGTGAAGATTGGGGCCTAAAAAAGGGAGGTAGCCCACTATGGGAAGGCCACGGGGTCCTGGTGGCAGCTTATCAGCAGTTTCTCTTTGCTTCTTGAATCCCCACTGGAATAAACAGGTACCCAGTATAGTAACAGAAACAGCCAGCAATATCATCGGCAAAAGTATGTCTTCATTATCTTGATCACCTTTACAAAACCAAGACCACGGGCCACAAATGGTGCTCGACAACATGTTATCTGTATTCGTAGCCATTAGAAATTAAAGGATGTTGACGGGAGGATAAGACGGAGATGAACTCGGCTTGAACTGTATCAGGACCAGCCTCTCGCCCTTTAGAAAACTAAGGCGATCGTTTGTTTTTTGGTTATCTTCTGTAAGCAAATAAAGGAATTCATTTGAGAACTCGACAAGTCGATAAGGCTATATATCGTGTGGTCTCTTTTACACTCACTTTTATAGAAAACCATGTGATGATATTATAAAAATATCCGATTATTAATTTTTTAGTTTTGATAATTTCATCTATTTTTTTTAGTTATCGTGGCTTATGATACCTATAAAAAATTTTTTAATGAATTTAAAGATTCTCTAATGATTAAGTTGATAATTTTAAAAAAAAAATAATAATATTACAAAAAGAAACTCTAAAAATAAATATACAATAAAAAATAAAAATTTCAAATCTTTTATTTAAAAAACTGGTGGTTTATTTATAATTCATGCGTATATTTATGGAGAGGAGAATGTAAAGTATAATATTGCCCTAACAATATTTAAAGGGGTATTAATATTGATAAGAAATACCCCTGACATATGTATTAATATGGATAGAAATATGGTAGATCCTAAAATGACTTTCACATGTTATCTTTTACATAATATTAATATTGATGAAAATGTGGTGAATCCTTATAAAAATTTATACACCTAATGAGCATAAAAAAATAGAATTTAAAATGTAATTATGCTCAAACAAGATAGGTTTTTTCATTGGCTGAGCTCAAGGGAGGTGGAACCTTCCTTTTACTAAACTTAAGGGAGGTTGGATTTTATGGGCTCTTAAATTTGAGTTTATCAATAATTTCTTAAGTTTTTGTGATATTTACACTCAAATATTTGTAAAAGTACTTAGTATAATGAGTTTGTCAATTTATTTTTTAAAAAAGTGGGGTGAAAACCTTGGTTAATATATCCAAGAGTCTATATGTAGAGGCATGCCTCATGTTTGAAAAAAAAAAAAACATATCTAGATATGTAGAGGTGAACCATGGAAGAACCTATACTTAGAGAATTTGTTAAGAGAGTGAGGTGAAACTATAGAAGAATCCATACTAAGAAAATTTTTCTAATAAATGGAAAAACTAATGAAGATAAGCTTATATTTAAAAGATTTTATAAAAGGTCAAGAGGAACCTATGAAGGGTGGAGCCTGTGCTTAGAAAATTCTCAAGTGGCTAAGGAAAAAATAATGAGGGTGAGCTTATATTTTAAAACAAATCTCTAAAAAGCTAAAAGGAACGAATCTCTATCAATACTTATACTTGAAAAATTTTTAATGGGAAGAGGGGATGAATCCATATCGACGTCCATATTTACAAAATTTTATAAGAGGCAGGGGGAACCTAAGGAGAGTGATGTTATTGCACTATAAAGACCATGTCAATCTTTTTTTTAAAGAGTTATTGCATTTTTTAAGAGTTGAAAACATGTGACCTCCATGACGATGACATGGAGTGTGATAGCCCTTCATTGAAGAGAGAGACCAAACTTAAAAGTAAGATATTTAAGATGATCCCTGGAAATAACATAAAATCCAAGATCGTATTTGGAGAGTTATGTTAGTTAATTGGGTTCTAGTTAGTCTTAATAGTATATATTTAACAATAATATTTTACGAACTGTAAAATAAAAATATTATATATGATTTTTTATAATGTATTGTTTTCAAAAATATTTTTGTAACATGTTATTTTATTTTATTTTATCATGCTAGAGCAAGAAAAACAGTCGGTAGAAAAAAAGGTCACTTGATGTGTTTTAGAATTGCAATCATGCTGATGCATGGTTTTATAGAAAAATCAGATTAAAAGACGGAGAAAAGAGGGAGCTTCTAGTTTCTTTGTTTTTTGAGAAAATAACACTTTTTAATTTTTTTTGTTAGTAAAATAATATATAAAATATATAATAAATATATATTTTTAATGGTGATAAAATAATTGTTATACTTGTTGATAAATAAACATGTTGGGTTTTAAAAGAACAATAATTTAGAATAAATAAATAAAATAAAAAAAATAATCATAACTTGTGTATCTCTTTTACAAACAAAATAATGGCTGGTGGGCCAACCTGAAAAAGAAAACGAAGAGACCGTAGTAGACAACTTACAAAAACCCCATATGACAACTAGATATATTTTTCATGCCAATTCTTTCTTTCCAAATCTAGTGTTCCTGGCACTACTCTTGAATGCATGCATGCCCCATTTAGATTTTGTGTTTGATTTCGTTATATACAACATAGCAATCATTTTCTTAGATTCTTACCCCCATTAATTCATTTTTACGGTATTTTTTAAACCAATTGAAATTTTTTAATTTTTAATTTATTTCAAATTAATTTTTTTAGTATTTTTAAATTTTTTTAATGTGTTAATATTAAAAATAAAATAAAAATATTATTTTAATAAATTTTTAAATAAAAAATACTTTAAAAAACTATCACTACTATACTACCAATCAAGTTACCAATGAAGTTTAATTTATATGGGTTCAAGTTTTACTATATATATTTATTATTCTTGTGGTGCCTTACATGTTTATTGGACTCGCAGAATATTCAGTAAATTATAAAATTAGTTGTGATACATAAAAACTGATCTGGATATCTATATAAATCAAAAAAAAAAAAAAAGTTACCAAGTCCAACAAATTAGTCGGTGTACAGTTTGCATAGTTTAAAAACTTGATATTTTGGCAAGTTGCCCTTGGCAAGGAAACCAGCGACTTTATGGCCAGCCAAACCATGACGTGTATTTTAGAACTTACCTTTTAATTAGATTTTGTGTTTGATTTTGTTATATACAACAGAACAAACATTTTCTTAGGTTTTTAGCACAGTGGAGAGAATTCAGTCCACCAAATTATTTGGTATACAGTTTACATAGTTTAAAAAATTGATATCTGGGCAAGGAATCCTTGACTCCTTTATGGCCAACTAAACCTTAAAAAGGATAGAGCATGTCGCAGATGCTAACAAATATCAGCTTTGTTTCTCGAGTCCTATATATTATCAGCCATTTATTAAATTATATTATTTTTTTTCAAATATTATTTTTACTTGATATCACATGCATGACGTGTATTTTAGAATTGCAATTTGCTGAGGGTTTTATAGCGAAGTCAGATTAATAAAAGACAGTGGAAAAGAGAACACGCGACGCGTGTAATTATCGGCTGCCTGTTTTTACATGACCAAATTGTTGTGATTGTGAAACGTTTCTTATAGTCGAGAAAAGAGTTTTAACAACTTTCAACCCTCCATTTATTTATATAAAAATAGGATGATTGACATATAAAAATATGAATTATTAAATATGAATATAATATGTAAAACTTGTATAAAAAAATGGGCTTTTGAATATTAATTGAAAATAAAATATCCATTTCATTATTATGTTTACCATAATTGTTTTACATGGTTTGTTTAGATTAGTTATTTTTTAATTTGTTTTTCTTTTATCGCATACAAATTATTGGGTCATGATCTTTTATGTATTTGTTTTTATTAAACCTTGTTTTTCATAACTTGATAAGTTTTTGTTTAAAAATTAATGGTCATGTAAAACAATTATTTTTAATTTTATTTTAAAAAATTAATTTCCTTTTTATTTTGTGAAGTTTGTGAACGTGAAAAGAGTCATCATACTTTACTCTACATCATCTAAATTCTAAAGTTCCCACTTCAGGTGGATCATATTGGTTTGTTATTTTTTATTAATTATTGTATTAAAATAATTATAATTCGAGATATTTATCTAATTATTTTCTAAAGCTTATTATTACAAGAAGAACCTTGAACCGTTGAAGGGAGTTCCTCTCACAATTTAACCTCCGGCTAGCAAAAGACAACCATGTGATTTTAATTGAGGCATTTTATTTTTTGTGCCCTCATATTCCTCATCCCTTAGTACAGTCTGGCATGATGAATAATATTAATTGGACTGGCCTGTACATGACAAATAACTATTTTTTATATATATATTTAGTGTGTATTGAATTGAATTGAATAATTTGTTTTATTTTATATTTAATGTATACTTAGAAATGTACTCCCATCTCAAGTATAAAGGTGGGACTCATGTCTATGTAAGAGGGAGGATTACAGCTCCAATATTATACCTACCAGTTTCTCAACATTTCATCTTCTTAGCATTAATTTCCCATGTATATGTAACATTAATTCTACTTCCTAAGATCCTCTATTGTTTCGAAGGCCAAGGAAATGATTGTTCCATCAATGGAAGGACACCAAGAAATATATTAGCTCTTTTGGATTCATATTTTATCAGGTATCTGTCTATATTCGAAGATGATAGCTGCAGATAAACACCAAATGGCTTGTTTTACTAACAATTTATTCTATCACAGAGATGTGGAAAGTTCTATTTGTTATTGGATTTTAAAAATATTTTTGAAAATTTTATTTTTTATTTTAAATTAATATATTTTTTAATATTTTTAGATTATTTTAATGAGTTGGTATCAAAAATAACTTTTAAAAAATAAAAAAAATTATTTTAATATATTAAAAATAAAAATACTTTAAAAAATAACAACAACCCACCTTCCAAACACCTTTAAATAATTTTAAATCATCCACGAATCAGATCGATTCAATAACAATACTATTTCGTTGTCGACTACGTAGAGAGTAGAAATGTTTGCACATATATTAATGTATTTTTGGCCCACCTGGTAAACGTTGCCTCTGCAGTCTGCAGTGGAGCCTAATAGCGAGTGAAGGACAAGGACACGATAGGGCCTACCCTGTGCTAGCCCATAGCAAGTGTACTGGTTACAAAAACAACCACAAAACCAATCACACACATGAAAGTGGTAAAGCCATAATTTTTTTAATAAGAAAATAAATCATTAATAAATATTTAATATTATATATTATATCAAGAAATTATAAAGCATAAAAAATTATTTACTTAACTAATTAATAATTTAAGACTTGAAAATAAATTTTATATAAAAAAGTCAAGAATAGTAATTTAAAAGAAAGAAGAAAGGCTCTTAATTAATTAATGAAATATATAGAAAAAAGGGGGAAAATTAGTGAAATATGCTAAA